GTCAATCAGATAAAATCGAGTCCAAGCGATGTTAAAAGCTCTGTACCTCAAGGTACAGTCCTTGCAATGCTACTGTTCCTTATTCTCATATCTGATATAGACAAAAATACACGCCACAGCTTCGTGTCGTCCTTTGCAGATGACACAAAAATCAGCATGAAAATTACCTCTGCTGAAGACATTGAAAAACTACAAGCAGATGTCAACAAAGTTTTTGATTGGGCAGCAGAAAATAACATGATGTTTAACAGTGATAAATTTCAGGTACTCAGGTACAGCAAAAATGAGGATCTGAAACATAATACAGGGTACAAAACACAATCGAATCTTCCCATAGTAGAAAAACAGCATGTCAAGGATTTGGGAATAATGATGTCCGACGATCTAACGTTTAGGGAGCATAACCAAGCAAATATCGCGTCAGCCAGTAAAATGATCGGATGGATTACGAGAACTTTCAAATCCAGGGATCCCATCACAATGGTTGTACTCTTCAAGTCACTTGTGCTGTCCCGTCTCGAGTACTGCTCAGTACTCACTTCCCCCTTCAGAGCAGGAGAGATTGCTGAAATAGAGGGAATTCAGAGAACATATACGGCACGCATAGACGAGATAAAACACCTAAATTATTGGGATCGTCTCAAAGCTCTCCAAATGTACTCTCTAGAAAGGAGACGAGAGAGATACCAAATAATATACACATGGAAAATACTGGAGGGTCAGGTCCCAAATCTACACAATAAAATAACATCGTACTGGAGTGAACGATATGGAAGAAAATGCAAGATTGAACCAGTGAAGAGCAGAGGTGCCATAGGCACAATCAGAGAGCACTGTATAAACATCAGGGGTCCGCGGTTGTTCAACGTCCTCCCAGCGAGCATAAGAAATATTGCCGGAACAACCGTGGACATCTTCAAGAGAAAACTGGACGGTTTTCTAAGAGAAGTTCCGGATCAGCCGGGCTGTGGTGGGTACGTGGCCCTGCGGGCCGCTCCAAGCAACAGCCTGGTGGACCAAACTCTCACAAGTCGAGCCTGGCCTCGGGCCGGGCTTGGGGAGTAGAAGAACTCCCAGAACCCCATCAACCAGGTATCAACCAGGGATCAACCAACCAGGTAGGAGGGAGGGGGAGGTAGGGAGAGATGCTAGGAGGGAGGGGGAGGAAGGGAGATATGCTAGGAGGGAGGGGGGAGGTAGGGAGAGATGCTAGGAGGGAGGCAGGAAGAAGTAGTGAGGGAAGATGGGAGAATTAGTGAAGGAGGGAAAGGCAGGCTGGCTGGCTGGCAGGCAGGCAGGCCAGCTGGCAGGCTGACAGGCAGGCAGGCTGGCTGGCTGGCTGGCAGGAAGGCTGGCTGCCTGGCTGGCAGGCAGGAAGACTGGCTGGCTGGCAGGCAGGAAGGCTGGCTGGTTGGCTAGCAGGCAGGAAAGCTGGCTGGCTGGCAGGAAGGCTGGCTGCCTGGCTGGCAGGCAGGAAGGCTGGCTGGTTGGCAGGAAGGCTGGCTGCCTGGCTGGCAGGCAGGAAGGCTGGCTGGTTGGCAGGAAGGTTGGCTGCCTGGCAGGCAGGCAAGAAGGCTGGCTGGCTGGCAGGCAGGAAGGCTGGCTGGCTGGCAGGCAGGCAGGAAGGCTGGCTGCCTGGCTGGCTGGCAAGCAGAGAGGGAGGCTGGCAGGCAGAGAGGGAGGGAGGGAGGTTGGCAGGCAGCTTGACAGAGAGGGAGGCTGGCAGGCAGGCTGGCTGGCTGGCTGGCAGAGAGGGAGGGAGGGAGGTTGGCAGGCAGGTTGACAGAGAGGGAGGGAGGGAGGTTGGCAGGCAGCTTGACACAGAGGGAGGCTGGCAGGCAGAGAGGGAGGGAGGGAGGCTGGCAGGCAGGCTGGCAGAGAGGGAGGCTGGCAGGCAGGCTGGCAGAGAGGGAGGCTGGCAGGCAGGCTGGCAGAGAGGGAGGCTGGCAGGCAGGCAGGCTGGCTTGCAGAGAGGGAGGGAGGGAGGCTGGCAGGCAGGCTGGCAGAGAGGGAGGCTGGCAGGCACTTAACACTTTTGCTCGGTAACGACTCAGCATTGCATCGTTTTTTTAGTAGATGCATTTCCGGTAACGGAGCAGCATTGAGTCTGCGGGGGCTTCAGGAGGGGCGCGCCATGATTTTGGACATTATATGCATATACTCCTGTAGGGAATTTCATTGTGAATACATTGATACCAAAATGAAAGACCTAGGACCAGAATTGAGGTAACAATGTTGAAAACAGTATACCCATTTATTAGCGCTCACTGGGATTATGCTCCGTCACTTTCTCTGTTTGCTGTGGGTGGTACGCCTGGCTTTTGGACTTTATATTTGCATATACTCCTGTAGGGAATTCTACTGCGAACACAATGTTACCAAAATGAAAGATCTAGGACGAGAATTGAGATGTCCAAAGTGAAGAGAGTGTACACATTTTATTGCTCTTGCGCAGTTCTGGGTAATACGCTCTTACTTTCTCACTTTCTCGCTGGGCTTTTAGGTTTAAAATGCATTTAGTCTTGTAGAGAATTCTATTGTGGACACATTCATACCAAATTGAAAAACCTAGGACGAGAAATGAGATGACAAAGTGGAAAAAAAGAATACACTTTTCAGTATTACCGCGCTCACTAATGTAACGAGAGGTGCCTTGGGGTGGCACAGTGTTCTCTTTCTGGGTCACTTTCATCTTGTCGGAGGGTGGAGCGCGCTGCTTTTTTTTACTTTATATGAATATACTCTTGTTGGGAATTCTGTTGCGAACACAATGATACCAAAATGAAAGCCCTAGGACGGGAATTGAGGTGACAAAAGTGAAAAAGAGTGTACACATTTTATCGCTCTTGCGTGCTCCCAGGTAACGCGCACTCACTTTCTCTGTTTGTTGTGGATGGGAATCCGAGCTTTTGGACTTTATATGCCATTAGTCCTGTAGAGAATTCTATTGGGAACACAATGATATCAAATTGAAAAACCTTGGACAAGAATTGAGGTGACAAAGTTGAAAAGATTATACACTTTTCAGAATTACCGTGCGCTCCCGTGAAATGCTGAGGCCCATCCGGGGTAGTGTGGGTCTCGTGTGCGCGGTGCAATAAAGAGTTAAATGCATATCATATATATTTTTGGTTACAGGTTTTGTTTAGTAATATTATTAGGATAATAAAAAGTTATAAAAACACTTATTTCATGAATGCTTTATTGTATTAGATGGAGATTCTCTGGCAATCTACTAAGCTAGCCACTTCGGGGGGTGGGAGGGCAGCAGTAGTGAGGATGTACTAGTTGTCCTTGCAGGGTTGAGCTCTAGCTCTTTGGTCCTGCCACTCCTGAGGGAGAAGTGGATCAGGACTTCTCTAATTGGTGAGTGCAAACAAAATACTGTCGCATTCATGCTATGAACCTGTCAATTTTGTCCCTTAGATTTTTTAAATTTTGTCTCTCCATTTTCCTCCATTTCTCGTTTACAAACTTACACGATAACCGACGGGTCTCGTCCCCAAGGGGTTCAGAAACCAAGTGGTGCTCTGTATGTATCTGGTATTATTTAGCCATGATAGTATTACAGAAGAGCCTGACTGTGTACATTGTTCAGATATCAGTGAATAAATGCTATTCAAGAAGTTCACAGCGCGCGCTAGCCACAGCACACTGCCGTTATTTCATCCATTTAAAATTCTTCAAATGATTTCTCATGTTCCTTTACAAAATAAACATGTGGAAAATTATTCATGTACATGATGTAGCGACCAGGATTCTGATAATAGCAGGATTGTGGTGAGAATTAGCGGTGGGAGGAGTATTATTGGTGAGGGAGGGAGGAAAAGGTGGCGTCGGCTGCTGGATGGTGTGTGGCAATATGTTATTGTTTTGAATCACCATACCAGCTTAGTGGTTTGCTATGGTGAACACAAATGTAGATATAGTATTTATATATAACGTGTGTGTATAGAGTGTAATAACAGCAAAAGGCTTATGTTGGCAGGAGCCACTTAGGTGAGGGAGTGAGTGAGGCTGTCGTCTGCTGTGTGACTGTCATGCAGTGGCCACTATGCTGTTTGGACACCATACCAGCTTAGTTGTACAGTTATGGTGAATAAATCATGTAGATACTTATATACATATAATGTGTGTAAATAGTGTAATAAAAACAATAACAGTATGGTTGGAGGGCAGAATATTAATGAGGGGGGTGTTAAAGGAGGGAGGGAGTCAGTGAGCAGTCTGCTGGCTGCTGTGTCATGGCCACTCTTGGGAGGAGTTTTGGGCTCACCATATCAACTTACTGGTTTGTTATGGTGAACACATATGTAGACAGGTATATACAATGTGTGTATATAGTGTAATAACAGCAAAGATACTGTTTGATTGATCGTAGAATATAAAATACAAATCATATATATGAGCCCCATAATTTTGAGCATAGCAATGCGCCACACATTGAACTATATAAATTCCACAAATTACACACTTTTGACTAATATTACAGCAAAAAGTCAGAGAAGAAGCGAATGAGAAACGTCAAAATAATTGTGAAACATTATATTCGCGGCAACTGCCGCCCCACGGGGTGGCGGGGCCGAATGACCCCGAGCGCTCCATCTCTCAGCACCCATAATTTGCTCAACTTCCCAGCTCCATCACAGCTAAAGTATGTCACATACAATATTTTTTTTTTTTTTTAGTTTCCCGTGATAAGAGACTGCATTTTAACAATATAAGAAGAGAATTTTTTTTTAAGAATTTATTTTCGACGAACCACAGGGGTGTCATAATTTAATGCAGAGCAGTGCAGTGGTTAAGGCATAATATGGACAATAGTGTACATGCTAGCCACAATTCTTTGGGTGATACAACAATATGCAACTCTGCTTTAACTAAGCAGTAGAAAAATTAAAGGTTGGTTAGAACTGTACAATACACACTTGTTTTGTGGTGCTAACAATTTTCTGTGTACTGCCATTATACAACAATTTTATAGTGGATGCAATACTCACAAAGGCAACATTTTGAAGGCAGGCCTTTCCTATAGGCTCCAGCATCTCTGTGTTGATAGAGGATCCACTGTTAATTATCCTTGATGATATTATGTCTTGTCCATATTGTGTAAGTTCCATTTCAGCTGTTCCTGATACTGGAGCAGCCATGGGTTGTGTTGGCTCTATTTTCTCTATCACAATTCCATCACCAACAATTGCAATACCTTCTCCTTTTCCAATAATCATAACATCACTGTCGACTTCCATTGATGTAGAGCTTGTGTCATTTGAAGACTCACTTAAATTTGAAGGTTCATTTACAACTTTGATTTTCTTTTGAAGAAAAACTTCTTTCTCATTAAGTATTTGTTTCAAAGATGGAGTACTCTTCTCCTTTTGTGTGGATGTGTAAAGTGGTTTAAAAACAATTTGTTTTCTCACAAGATCAGCAACACTGAATTTTTTAGAAACATTACATAAAATAGAATTAAAGCCATTTAACTCTAAACTACTTTGATTACCATTCAGTGTGTTAGGATCAATATTGTTCTGAATGTAAGGCAGTTTATTTTTTACACTATTCAGAGATTCATTTAAACTTGTAATTCTTTGGCTAAGACTGAAGCTGGTGACTTGATCCTTCCCTTTTCCTTCCTGCAAAACAAAATATAAATTAGAAAGTCCATCTTTATAAATTAAATTGCCATCTTTAACAAATGCAACCTTAATTTGAGACTGCAATAATATTTAATAAATAACTCAACACACATAAAAAACCAGCGTTGAATGTAATGAAACGCCATTTTCTGGGTGAGTCCCAGAGGCTCCCCAGAGCTTACCAGGCTGATATGCTAATGTCAGACTTTGGCATTAGTCATGTGTACGGAGTTCGTATGGGCCTACCGGGGACCACGAGCCAGAACCTGGCTCCCCTCAGAGAGGCAAGGGGAGCAATGGCCTATAGAAACCCCCGTGTGGTTGGAAGCATTCTATGTATGCCATCGACTGGGTTAGGCACCCAGAAAGGTAGGCGTCCCAAAACAAACCCCTATTCTGGTGAAAATTGCAACCAAAAGCCGAATGAGTGGATAGAACTCCCCAAACAAAAACGAGCAAACTAGTATGACGTCATTCGTCGTCGCGCCGCTGTCTGCGCAGCCCCCCTTCCTCGGGAGGGGGAAGGGGGAGCTCCAGACCTACCACGCTGGCTATCCACACCCCAGTTCTGAGGCTGGATGTAAAAACACTCGAAAAAAACGCCGACCGGAAGGAGGGAGGGATGCCGGGGAGCCTCCGGGACTCACCCAGAAAATGGGGTTTCATTACATTCAACACTGGTTTTCTGGGGGGAGCCCCTACGGCTCCCCGGAGATAACTACCCACAGAGGAAAAGAATAGGGACTGATCTGGGAGGTGGTCGCCGCACACTATTCAACCCTTAGTCGAGACAATAGGCCGCATCCGCCGACCCAAAGCGACACAGGCCCGACTGGGCCCAGGAACGTGTACAAGGTAACGAACAGCCAAGGATTAGCTGTTCGACTGCCAAATTCCCCGTGCCCGAACGTCCTCCCAGGACACAGTACCGAAGACGGCGGCAAGAGCCGCGAACTCGCGGACGTCATGGGCACGAAGATAGACCACAGGCTGGAGAGCCTGAAGAACCCCGCGGACAACCGGGGAGACCCGCACCCTCTAACAGGGAAGAAGGTAACCGGAGCAACCCAAATTGCGTCCATGGACCCAGAAACCGTGGCCCGCCAACCACGGCGGAGAGCCGCAACCGGACAAAAACAAATGCACCCCTGGCCCAACCAACCAAGCACCAACAACCCAGGGACCCCTCCAGAATGCAGCAGTCATCCTTCACGAGAAAAGAAGGAGAAGGCAGCAGACAACCAAACTGAACACCTCAACCGAAGGAGCAGAAAATGAAGCTCACCTACCCGACCCTAGAGGCCAATGCCAACTAGAAAAGAGCCATCGAAAAACAAACAGGAACCGAAGGGGCCACAAGAAAACAAGAAGATAGATAAGAGCACTCCGTCCAATGACCAGGACGGCTCAAGCGGCGCAAGAGCAGGCCGGAGTTGAAACAAACACGAGACAGCTTGTGAACGGCGCAGATGAAAGTCCGAAAGCAAGCCGAAGCGGCTCCACCAGCGCCGCATAAAACGAGGCGACAGTATGCGGCAAGTTGACGGCCCCCAACCTCCAGCAGAAAAGCCAAGCCGATGCCAACAAACGCAGCCACCGAGGAAAGGACAGAAGGAAAAGGAAGGACCGCCAAAACACCCCATACTGCCACCAAGAAGCACACAGGTGGGACACCAACAACGAAGCCACCTGACTACCAACGGACGCGAGATCCCCGAGGCAGAACGTAATCAGTACTCCCAAGGGTCATCCAAGCCTAGGAAGAGGCGGAGCCGCAGGAAGATCTCGGGTGTGACCACCAAGGAAGCAGAGCCGGAAGCCCAACCCGGTAAGAAGGAGATGGAACGTATGCCGAACAGAAAACTCCCCAACACGAGCAAGCTCGCCAGGGGATCAGAAACCACGGGTCTGATGTGAGACACCAGAGATGGGACATCGCAAGACCCTGAAAAAAACAACAGGTAGGGCAAGCCAGGAAAACAGGAAACCAAACCTGGCAACAAGAAGACCAAGAGGCACAAACAAAACACACAACAGTGTGAAGGAGGAAATGATAAAAAGACCAGCAGAAACGCCCCAGCACCAGCGGCCAGGGACAAGAGTGAAGCAGGAAGATGAGAGGAATGCATGAGGAAGGGAAGTGGCGGAGGCCAACCCCACACCCAGCGTCCAGTGCAGAGAAGAGCCCAATAGGCCCCGGAACTTGAACAGAAAGCGAATAATAGGCGAGGGGCGAGACGAAGAGCCCAATGAGGTGAGGACAACGAGGTTAGGACAGAGAATCCAAGGAACATGGAAAATCGTGCCCGGCACAGCAAGACCGGCAAGGAAGGTGGGCCCCAGAAAAGCAAGAGACCAAAAAAAAAAAAAAAGAAAAAAAAAAAGGTGCCAGAAGGAGCACGGAAGGGCTGAACAAAACGCCACAACCATACCCCCACATGCAGCCGCAGTATCAAATCCGCAGCAAAAGTCACCACACAACTAGGAAACAGGATTGGTTCAACAGAAATTGCGAGAGGGCCAGAGACCAAAAGACACAAAAATGAAATCAATACAGGAAGAGGCCAAACCCCCAAGCATACCAGCGATACAAAGATGCGAGAAACAACTACACGGCAGTGATTAGAGAGGCAGAAAGAAATTTTGAAAAAGGGATTGCAGACAAATGTAAAACAGAACCAGGTCTATTCTATAAATTCATAAACAACAAATTGCAGGTAAAGGATAATATCCAGAGGTTGAAAATGGGAAACAGATTCACAGAAAATGAAAAGGAAATGTGTGAAACATTATACGAAAAGTTCCAAAGTGTGTTTGTACAAAATGAAATCTTCAGGGAACCAGATCCAATAAGAATTCCAAAGAACAACATAGAGCGGATAGAGGTGTCTAGAGACGAAGTGGAAAAAATGCTCAAGGAGCTAAATAAGAACAAAGCAGTTGGTCCAGATGAAGTTTCACCATGGTTTCTGAGAGAATGTGCACCTGAGCTCAGCATTCCACTTCAACTGATTTTTCAGGAATCCCTGTTTACAGGAGTTGTAGCTGATGTGTGGAAAAAGGCTAACATAGTTCCAATCTACAAAAGTGGAAGCAGGGAAGACCCCCTTAATTATAGACCGGTATCACTGACAAGTGTAATAGTCAAAATATTGGAAAAAATAATTAAAATTAAATGGGTAGAATACCTGGAGAGAAATGATATAATATCAGACAGACAGTATGGTTTTCGATCTGGAAGATCCTGTGTATCGAATTTACTCAATTTCTATGATCGAGCAACAGAGATATTACAGTAAAGAGATGGTTGGGTTGACTGCATGTATCTGGATCTAAAAAAGGCTTTTGACAGAGTTCCACATAAGAGGTTGTTCTGGAAACTGGAAAATATTGGAGGGGTGACAGGTAAGCTAACATGGATGAAAAATTTTCTGACTGATAGAAAAATGAGGGCAGTGATCAGAGGCAATGGATCAGACTGGAGAAATGTCACAAGTGAAGTACCACAGGGTTCAGTTCTTGCACCAGTGATGTTTATTGTCTACATAAATGATCTACCAGTTGGTATACAGAATTATATGAACATGTTTGGTGATGATGCTAAGATACTTAGATGATTGATGATAAGAAACTTAGATGATTGTCATGCCCTTCAAGATGACCTGGACAAAATAAGTATATGGAGCACCACTTGGCAAATGGAATTTAATGTTAATAAATGCCATGTTATGGAATGTGGAATAGGAGAACATAGACCTCACACAACCTATATATTATGTGAGAAATCTTTAAAGAATTCTGATAAAGAAAGAGATCTAGGGGTGGTTCTAGATAGAAAACTATCACCTAAGGACCACATAAAGAATATTGTGCGAGGAGCCTATGCCGCGCTTTCTAACTTCAGAATTGCTTTTAAATACATGGATGGCGATATACTAAAGAAATTGTTCATGACTTTTGTTAGGCCAAACCTAGAATATGCAGCGGTTGTGTGGTGCCCATATCTTAAGAACATAAGAACAAAGGTAACTGCAGAAGGCCTATTGGCCCATACAAGGCAGCTTCTATCTATAACCACCCAATCCCACTCATATACTTGCCCAACCCGCGCTTGAAACAATCGAGGGACCCCACATCCACCACGTTACGCGGCAATTGGTTCCACAAATCAACAACCCGGTTACTGAACCATTATTTACCCAAGTCTGTCCTAAATCTAAACTTATCCAATTTATACCCATTGTTTCGTGTTCTGTCTTATGTTGATATTTTTAATACCCTATTAATATCCCCCCTGTTATGTCCATTCATCCACTTGTAAACCTTTATCATGTCACCCCTAACTCTTCGCCTTTCCAGTGAATGCAACTTAAGCTTTGTTAATCTTTCTTCATATGAAAGATTTCTAATTTGGGAAATTAACTTAGTCATCCTACGTTGGACACGTTCAAGTGAATTTATATCCATTCTATAATACAGCTACCAAAACTGAACTGCATAATCTAAATGGGGCCTAACCAGAGCAAGATATAGCTTAAGAACCACACCAGGTGTCTTGTTACTAACGCTTCGATTAATAAATCCCAGTGTCCTATTCGCCTTATTACGAACATTCATGCATTGATCCTTTTGTTTTTAAATTCTTACTAATCATAACTCCCAGATCCCTTTCACAATCCGACTTCACAATCTCAACACCATCTAGCTCGTATCTTGTAACTCTATCATCATTACCTAGCCTCAGAACTTTACATTTATCAGCATTAAACTGCATTTGCCAATCCTTTGACCATTTCAAAATCCTATCTAGATCAACTTGAAGTGATAGTGAGTCCTCCTCCGAATTAATTTCCCTACCGATTTTCATATCATTGGCAAATTTGCAAATGTTGCTACTCAAACCTGAATCTAAATCATTTATATATATTATAAACAACAGAGGTCCCACGATAGAGCCCGAGGTACTCCACTAACAACATTATCCCACTCTGACTTAACCCCATTTATACTAACTCTCTGTTTCCTTTGGAATAGCCATGCCCTAATCCAACTTAATATAGCACCCCCAATACCATGAG